AAGTTGAGGCTCAGCCGCTTAATGACTATCCTGGGGCACATGGGGCCTTGCCACTTGGGGCGCATGTTAATTGTTCGGACATTTATGGCAATGGGTTGACACATGTTTGCGGGCATCTTTATGAAGGTTAATGGGGTGAAGACTTTATAGGAAACCCTAGATAGACTACATGGGACTCGACGTCTTACAAAAACATTTTTATTATTATGACTGTTTGACAATGTAAAAATTATCCCTTAATATCGTCCAGCTAAGAAAAAGGTCTTAAGTTATCATTATTTGTTAATTAGAAAACATTTCAACAAATGCAAAAATTCGAGAGTATATTTATAAGATTTTTGACTTTGTGCATTTCCATATACACAATATTTTCTATTCTAATATGAAAGGTCCATTGCAGCTTAAAATTAAGTCACAATCTAATTTGATTGTATGTTGATAAGTTAGTGTTATAATATTTTCTTTGGACCTCAGTGAATTTTAAAGTTAGGTACGGAATTGTGAAGCCTGTTTCTCGTTTCTTTCCCACTCGTATATCTTCATCCTATTTGTAGCAATTTATTATGGGATCCCCATTTCCTATTTCGCTGACTTTCGCCACCTGCAGTTGCATCCATCTTGACTGGAACTTTGAGTCCCGTGGCCAGTAAATTTGGTCGAAATAAAATAACGATAAAAAATCACACGAATATTAATTCGCGGAACTGCAAAGACCTTCAGCCAAAAGGCGGCCGAGAGCCAAAGGCAGAGCTGTTTATGAAATTTATAGTTGCGGTCTAGGAGAAAAGCCCGCAATCGCTGAGTCCCAGTTTCAGTTCAGTTCAGGTCGGCTTCGAGGCTTGAGGATCGAGGTTCGAGGTTCGAGGTTCTCCTCGCCATTCCACAGCTGGTCGTGTGAGAATGTTCGGGGCACATGTGCCCCAGTCCCCATCCTCATCCTCATCCGCATCCCCCACCTCGTCCTGGACTCGGTCTGAACCTCGGGTTCAACTGCAAAGGCGAGCCTGCAGAACACATTTAAAAGAATCCAATCCAACTACTGGCCAAGTCGAAGATCGCCTCTAATGCCAGTGCGGAGCGGAGTGGAGTGGAGTGGAGTCTTTGTCTCTGGCCTCGCTGATCGCTGCTTTTATGCGATCAACTTCCATGGAAGTGGGAGCTTAAGCGAGACGATGAAAATATTTATATATATAAGTATTTGAGCGCGGACTTATCGCCAAACAAGATCAATAAGCACGATATCAATGAGCTCTGGTGTTGTTTCGGCCGAGCAACAAGAACATCGCCGTGGCAACGAGCAACTGGCGCAGATCCGTTCCGATGCAATCGGGCCATGTGGGGTTGAACCGAGAACCAGGAACCGGGAACCGGGAAAAAGGGGCCAAGGTGGAGGAGTACTTGCCAGTACCCACTACAATATTAATTTAACTGTTCTATAAAGGCTTACTAGAAACCTTTACCCACCTGAATCGAGTCCCTCATCATTAGAGAAGCGCATCATTATAAAAGCGTTAGTTGTGTTTAGTCTTTAGATAAAAGTCCTGGATAAGACAAAAATTGTAGTTATAAATACAGGTGAGGTTATCCATTATGTTGAAACAGAACAGGGCTCCTAATAAATGTTCCTGGAAAATAATTGCACCGATTTCAATTATAAATTGAGCAACCTTTTTAAAACGATTTAGTGTTTTTCATCCGCAAATATCAGTCTCTAAAAAAATTAAACATACAGACACTGGAAGAAAATAAAAATATTAATAATTCCTATTACGTTTCCCAGCACATTTACATTCGCACATGGTACTTATTAATCGTACTCGAATTAATAATTAATTCGAATTTATCTTAATTAGCAACCACTTTATCTAAGCCACCATTAGAGCTGTTACATCGCGTAAAGGTTACATATATGAAGCTTTTGGTACTCGTTTTTATAAAGATTTCCTAGATTCCGCATACATAGCTTGGGTATAAGTAAAAGAAATTAAACAAACGACATTAACAAAAGCTTATAAACATTTATTTTTATTTCTCCCTTTAAATTATAGGATTTGTTTTAAAAACTAAACTTCCTGTTTCATAAAGACAAAAGTGGAAGGAAACACGAAAGTCAGATAATATTAATGACTAGTTTAAAAAAGGTGGTCAGCAAAATATAATACATACCGTAAACAAATGTTAAAATTTGTCCCGCTTGTCATTATCATTAGCCAGGTTAAATTTTGAGTTGGAATAATTTCCACAAAGTTTCGCGGAAAAGCGGAGAGCGGAAAACTGTGCCACGAAAAATGCCCAGCGTGGAGCGATTTCGGGGGACGGATAGGATTGGATTGGATTGGTTTTGACTCCGAGCCACAACCAGTGTCTGTCTGTCTGTGTTTATTTGTGCTGTTTGTTTACCACTGTGGCATTTGCATATTTTGAATGTTCGCGGGCGACTCGTGGCACGTTTTACAGGAAGGCGCGGGGCAGGCGACAAACTTTATCGATGATTGTGTGGGCGAGTCATGCGGCCGAGTCCCCGACGACCTTTTCATAGTTCTGCATGGCTTTGGTTGTTCGTTCGGCCGTTCTGCGGCTGTTGATGTCAAACAATTGTCACAACGTGTCGGCATTCACACGAACTTTATGTTTTATCCAACACCTCGGCGCGAATCTCTCAAGGGTTAAAGTTTGCGAAGCGCTTCGAGTCTCTCAAGGAATTCTCAGGAGGGGGAGGGGACTGGATCGCTGATCCATTGCCCTACCGCGATGCACTCGCTCATCAATAACCGTCGGCGGCGGTGTTCCATCAAAAGTCGCCAGCGACTGTACAAAAACCAACACTCCGCCTGAAGGGTCCTTCAGTTCGGGCTAATAATGAGCGGAACCTCAGCGGTTCCATTGTTCTGGCCTCTCTCCATGCCTCCCAAATATGTATTCATTATATTTATGGCACAGTTCTTCCCTGCAAGAGGGGGAACAAAAAGAAACACTTGTGCCCCGGTCCAACTGACAGGCGGAATATCTTTTTTCTCGCGATCGATCCGCTGGGTCCTGCGAGCAGTCGATCGATCGATGGATTGGCTCCCTCGCCGAATAGATCACTCAGGCGTAATGAATTATTGATGGACCGATCGTCAAAGGGCAGGGAGAATAACACACAAAAACCTATAGAACTGGCCGAGACCGAGATGAAATGTAACCAGAGCTTTGACTTAATGTGGCAGCTCAACCAGATCGATCGAAGCTGCCCAAGTTTTGTGACTTTGTCAAGTCCTGCTCCTGCCTCCGCTGATCACTTGTGATATATTGTTTCGGTAGCAGTTTGTTAAACGTGATCAATTTTTAATTACCCATCATCGTCGTCATCCGTTCGAAGGCATCGCATCGCATCGCATCGCATCGATCGATTGTCGTATCAATCGCACCGCACAGAATGTAACTCGGACGTTTGTCGCATGTCACTCAACGATTTATGCCCCGAGCGACTTTAATAAATGTGTCTTGCCGCTTTTGGCCCCAGTTTCCGAGGATCCCAGTGGATCCGCTACCCCCTGCCCCCACCGATTGAGGCGACTCTGTCCCTGGCGATGTGGCGCCGTCGTCGGCTCCCCGAGTCCCCCAACTCCGCCAGTGCCAGTTCCCCATTCGGAGCGTGTGTGCGCAAAATGTTTAATTAGTTTTTGTCTAATTAACACTTGCGACATGGCCAAAGCGACTGGAGTCGTGTGCCACCGAAGGCGTGAAGATCAAAAGGTGATCAAGCGTCGATGGTCGCAGGACAACCTGAGCGAAAGTTGGCTCCGGAAAGCACTGGGTTTTCTGAGGGATTAACTTTTAAACTCTATGTATGAGACAAACAGATAACTTGTTTCCTAAAGAAGTAAGAATCAACATTTAGGTAATTTCTTTTTGTTAATAATATATTTTTAAAAGCGCAAATATCCAAAGTTTATTCAATGAAAGCTTACACAAAACTTAACCCAAATTTTAGCTGCTAACATTTAGATATTATGAATGGCAGTTAAATATGCGTTAAGTAAGATAACATATCCCCGAAGCTTATATATACCTTAAAAAACTATTTTTAAATACGAGTATATACTGTTTGTATAATGTTGGCATTACCTTATTATAATTTAATACGTCCACATCTAAAGGGCAACGTCCATTTCTTAGTTAAACGTAGAGTTTAATATTTCCTTTAACCCAAGGGATACCTGCTTCATTTTAGAAAGCCCCGCACCACTTAAAGTCCCATTTTGGCATACTCTGCTGAGACTTGTTCTTGGCCGGCGAGGCAACCACATAACTCCTCTGTCCGCACACGCCCATTTTGCACCCGGAATTCCAGAACGTGCAACTTTCGAAGGTTCCGAGGCGGCGAGCCCTTGGGCAGCGCACAAATTAAGGTGAACGCCCACAGCACGCGCCGCCGAAGAAGTGGCAGAAGATAGGGATCCAGAAGCCCAGAGCTAAGCGTCCAGGAGCAGAGCCCAAGAGCGCGATAGCCAGGCTGGCTGCCAAGACTCCGGGGAAGTGTTTGCCACTCGAGTTTCGGGGCTCCCCTGCTCAGTCCTCCTCGGTCCCTGAATAACCACAACCACTTGAGGTTCTTGGCGCGCGCGTTTATTTATTTTGGAGCGGGGCGCAGAGCAACAAATTAAAAAGTAATTCTCGGGCGCAGCATAATTAGCTGCCAAGTGACGCTAATGGGGCCGCAGTTGCACTGCCCCAAAACCCGCCCCACTCCCCGCCCATCTGCCTGTTTCGGGCCAAACTTGATGCACTTGTTCCATTTTTCGGCGGCTCGTTGTGTGTGGCAATGGGAAGTTCTCGAGATGGTGAGTGAGTCTTCGTTGGTTTAGCTAATTGAGTTTTGTTTTTCGGCCCGGCCCGGCTCCCTCGTGGCTGCCAAGTTGAGTTGGCCCGTAATTGATGGGCCCGCTGAAAGCGACGGCCTTTGGAGTGGGGAGATGGAAGTTGGAAGCTGCTAGATAATCGGAGTTGCCTGCCAGTTGATGTCAGGCGAATCGGATTATTCTCCCCACTTTCCTCGCAGCCACACCTAACAACTAATTTGATGGGATATGGTAAGCAGACAACTTCATTTGCCTCGATCCCCAATCACAACCCAATCTTAAGTCTCGTCCTAAGGGTAAGAACAGGATGAGTTCCGATAGCCGATCGACAAAGGATCGAAATGAATCTGCCTCTGACCGACAAACAGACCACAGAAGACTAAACGGTTACTCAACCCATGAAAAATGCGAGGAGGACCTCCCAAGAAAGTGCTGCAGGCACTCCGAGAGGTGTTCAAAAGTACACGACTGTTCCGTATACCCAGAGTACACCAGAAAGATGAAAGAGAAGGTATTTAAAGCGAACGTTTCTCACAAAACAAGTAAAGAAAACTGTTCGGACAAGGAGCTTGCACTTAGCGCTAATAATTCAGAGTCCACCTCCAGTGGAAAGGACGAAGCTAAATCCCGGTTTCATCCAAGCGCTCAGTCCTCTGATCGATCGAAGAGCTTCAGTCAGATCTACAGCGAAATCTTCGAGGAGTCAAAGGCGCGTCAACAAAAGGGGGAACGGGCTTGTCGAACCTACAACATCAACAAATCCAAACTGCGCAGGACTAGGGAGTTATCTGGGTCCAGAGGACCGGGAAGTGGGTTCTATGATGACGAGAGCAGCGTGGAATCAGAGTACTCCAGTCACTCCCCAAGGGAAACCCGGGAATACGAAAGCCGATCTACAGACGAGCGCGAAAAAATAGTTAAGGACCATGGGATAAAACGCTCCGAAAGAACTTTAAACAAATCAATTAGCAATCGCGAATCTCGGAACTCTTATTCCCACTGCTCGGAAAACAGGTGCTGGGAAGATTCTTTTCACAAGCGAAATAGACCAAGAGCGTGCATGTGCGAACAGGCATCTGTATCTTGTACCACTGGCTCGGTTCGTTCCAGGTCGAGAAAGCACCACTCCAGAAACTGCGATTCGGAGGTGACTGATGGGAGCGATTACCCCGCAGACCGCAGATGTGACCCAAGCAGCGGCATTCCTGCAACTGCGACATCTCGCTCGCAGAGAGATTATCTTTCGAGCTGCAGCACACGCCATCGTCATCATCATCATTATCGTCGCCGGAGGAGTGTGTCCAAGACGTATCAAGATCGTGGAAACAGTCCCATTAACATCAAGACGAGGCGAAGGAGGCCCGACTCCCAGGAGCTCCGCGACGGATCCGGCACCGACTTAGTCTGCAAGCCAAGTACCTCTGTTGGGGTGCAGTACCCCAGTGACGACGAGATCGAGGACTATTCTGACGCGAGTGCTGACGAAATTGTACAAATCGTCCAAGATAAGGAACTCAACTTGAAGGGAAAAGCTCACGACATTGACAGTAGAGAAAGTTTTGAAGAAGTGTCAAGTGACGAACGAATCCCCAATGAAATGGAGCAATATACGTGCGACTACTTCATAGCTGATTCTGCCATTTTCAGAAGAAGCGATAAAGGTGAAGAATACCGTACCGAAAATAATCAGGAGACCAAGACAAACCATTATGAAGAAAGCTGTTCTGATGAATATGATGGTATAGACCTCAGTGAAGACATTAACACTGAAGAAGAAGATCAACAAGGCGAGTTCGATGTCGCTGTAAGAATGATTCCATCAAACTTAAAAACTTCTCCCATTAATAGTCCTCTCTACACCGCTTAGGAATATCGAGATGATCAGGGGTGGACCAATGAAGAAAAGCTATCCTCCAGTGACGAGGGCCAATCTTCAAACTACGACAACGAGTTGGAGTTGACCAAGGAAAAGTCTGAAGCAAAGACCAAAAGTCTCCTAAATCTAAGGATTTATGATGCTGACGAGGCTTTGATGGAGATCCCGGAGGATTTCGAGGGCCCTGCAGTTGTGCTGGACGACGATGCCGACTTCCTGGACATCACGTTGACCGACGACGAGGAGCAGATCCGGGCTAAGTTAATGGCCGCGGCGCTGACCACCAGAAGGAGTAGCTGCTCCACTAGTGCCTCTGATAGTATCAAGTCAAGACGGTCCGTCGAGTCCAGCACCTTGAGCTACAAGCCCAGTGTGATCTTTGCCCGTCGATCGGAGACTGATGGAAAGGAGAGTGCTCCTCGGAAAAAGGATCGTGTGGCGCTTCTAGCCGAACAACTCCTGCAAAGCCTGTCTTCAAATTCCGAATCCGAGTGGCAACCCTTGGTTCAGGAGGTCACCACCCCGGACTCTGAGTGGCCACACTCGGAGGAGAGTGAGGTCACCAAGAAGCCTTTCCGCGAACTGGACAGACAGCTGCTCTCCGAGGAGTTCAACAGAAAGCTCCACCGCCAGCTGAAAGTAGTTGTGAAGAGCTTTCAATGAGTTCCAAGAGTGCGCATATATTTTGTATTTGCAATTACTTCTCATTAAATATTCGAAATTCGTTAAGAGCAGGCAAAACGAAATATTAATCTAAATTCACTTCTGAAAAGTAGCTTATAAAGAAAAGCACTGCTGATGCGGTTAATAGCAGCAACAATTTTAGTAATCTCAGTGCCTATAGTTTGATTTTACTTATTTTTTATTTTTATTTTTTTGTTTTCCAAGTTCTTAAGGTACAGTATTAAGAGTTTTTAATATTATGCCACTCCTCATTATTATTTGTTTGAATTGAACTGGTAAACTATCATGGAAAAAGGGTAATGGATTTGTGTCCCTAGTGTAGTGTACATCTCCTTTGGGGAATTTTCCTCTGGGCGGAACGGCTTGCACTAGAGCCTGTCTAGGAGGAGTTGTGGCAACTACTTGAAACTTTCAGCGGCGTGGCACGGCCGCCTTGCAGTCTGCGGGCTCGCTTTCCTCGGATGCAACATTCTGGCTGGCACGCCGAGGCGCATAAATCAACTTTAGTGCTGGCCAAGTGTCTTGCTGAAGGGCGCAGCTCTCGAGTGGCATTCGGGATGGTGGATTGGGGCAGATGCCCCTCCCCCGCAGCATAATTAGCCCATGGCTACTGTTAGTCTAGGCGTGCACTTGCCGCCCCGCCGCCCCCCCTTCTTTTTCGCCCCTCGAGGGGCCATTTATTTTCCCGACACATACTAAATACGCAGGAGTTGTTTACATGATCCATCAGAGATCGGTCCTGGGTTATGCTCGCCTGCATGCTGGATGCACCTAATTGCTAACCAAACACAAGCTGCGGCGGAGCGGCGCGCAAATATTGTTTTAAGGCACATCAGCGTATTTCACCTGCCTAATGCCCTTCGACTGATCTGATAGGAATCGGATTCGAATTGGGATTGGGATTGGGATTGGGATCCAGATCGATTGAGTGGGTGTATTTTTGGGGAATGCTCTGTGTTCATTCCCCACTTTTTCTAGTAATGAAGTGAGCGTGGATATGTTTATAATTTACGATATTGTGCAGTGCTTTCTTGGGGATTTTGAGTTGAAGGAAGGGTTGAGAGAGTGACGTGTTTTTCTTGTGTCACGAAACCCACAATCAGCGGAATGTGTTACTAATTTAAAAAAATATACTGTTTAACTTGTTCTTAATGTTATGTCAATCATTGTGTATGAATCCAGTACTAAATTACTACTACTAAACCTTTAAAATTGTAACTTCTTAAATCGGCAGTAACGGTACAAAGATCATTTACTTTTTCAAGCTTTATAAAACTACATTTTCCAAAAGAATTGAATTAAATAAATATGTTATTAATTAAAATTGAATTATTTGAAATAGGTAGAAGTGTTTGCTGGCCATATCCGATCAGTCTCCGTCCATTATCCTTTCCTATCACAGCTCAACCAATTTCCCACACGCACTGCCCACGAGGACCGATGGGCCCACGTGACTTTCGTGGTCATCAGGTGAGCGCACACGGCATAATTTAGACAATTTAGACAATTTATTGTGAAAAATGCACTCAATTTATACGACTTGATTATATTTGCCTTCCCTTCCGAGGCTGCGCCTTCGAATGGCTGTGTTTGCTTAGTGGCTTAGTGGCCGCCTGCCGAACGGAGCCATGACATCGCCGTGGTTAGGGACATGGCCCAAACAAGCCTGCGACAAGAAGACCCCGAGGATTGGATGACGGTCGTAAGGAGGAAAGTCGGAGGGGAATAGACGCCCGAGGCCCGAGGCGCACCCCACGCCAATTTATTAAAGCCAACACCAGGGAAATGTGGCCGAGTGGCACAGGTTCCCCATTCGATATGAGAAATGGCACGACACTGCCAAGGCGCATATGCAAAATGCATAATTCATTTAGCGTTTTGTAAATCATTTGTTTGAATAGCACGATGACGGTGATGCGCGCTAGCTCCCATGACCATTCTCCTCCATCTCCATCTCCTCCTTCTACTCCTCCTCCCCCATCACCGATCCCCCTCCCCTTGAAACAACCTGCCAGAGGAGCTCCTCCTGGCCAACAGGCAGTTGGGCTATTCGTCTGCCCTGACAAATCGAGCGGAGTGCACTCCGATCGGACGGGGATCCAGTCTCGGCCGGTCCAATCCTGCTGCAGCAACACAATGGCCATGACGCTGCGCAAATATAATTTCACAACTGTCTGCACATGCTCCGAACGAAACGAGGCTCCCAGCAAAGGTGGATCTGCACCGCGAGAAATGGGTGGGGTGTAAGAAAGCTTTTCCATCTATCAGATAGCTGAGTTGAGATAAAAACATATATGTATATAAAATGTAAAATATATTTAAAATAAATCAAGCATAAAGCACAAATATGTTTTTTAAGACATTTCTCATTTATAAAAAAAATTCGTATTGAACGGAGGTTCATTTAAATTGGGTGGTTTACTTAAATTAAAAATTCAAAAACTAATATAATCCAAAAAAAACATCAAGCTTATTCTACAAATTGTCAATTTAAACTAAAACCAAATAAGAGTAGAAAACCATAAGGACCTGTTCATAGAATTTTTTCGGGAGTTGAGCATAAGACCAGTAGAAAACTAAATAATTAATGTTAATTGTATGTATTTTAATAACCTTTTCTCACAGTGTGTCAGCGAGACGAAAGCAACAGTGTCCGAATCATAAAAAGAGCTCAGCCATAAGTCACAACGCCGCAACGACTTTCTTGGCTTGGGATAAGCCTTTTTATTATTATTATTTGTATTTGCCTCATCTTTTCGCCTTTGATTCCTGTGAAATTTGCATGCGTTGGGATTCCGATACCAATTCCACCCCGATCCCTATCCCCACTCCAATCCAAAGACCGATCCCGATCCTCCAACGAGCTAATTTCGTTTTGTGTGCGAATATTGAAAAATTACAAAACTTTTGATGCGAGTGGGGAAGGGATTGGGGATTTGGCCGGCATGAGTTGCGGCTGGACCCTTCCATTGAGGTTTCTTGGGAACCCAGTTTCTGGCCGGTACTGTCTGTAATTTTAATGATCCTCCACTGACATCGTAACTCAATAAGCCGGCGAGTCGCGATCGCTCCAGACAGACAGTCTGGGATGGGATCTGCTTGGCTTTCCCAGCCGAACGATTTATCATCTTTGGCTGCACTGCGAAAAGTAATTAAGGTTTCTCCCAGATCGCGTGTGGTCGGAGGCTGGGGTGTGTCCGCCAAGTCTATTGTGAGTCGAGTGTGGCGTTAAATTTTTGATCAAAAAACTATTAGCCAAGTGTACAAATTATCGTTAATATGCTGCGTGGTGGTGCCAATGCGTCTGCGCCGCTTCAGCCTGTCCCGATACTCTTATTTATCGTTTGAGTTTTTCCGCTCTATTGTTGTGCCACAAATGGAATGTTGAGATGCGTGGCTTTTACGCCACACTACACTATTTTACAATCAAAATATAAAATTGACTGAATGAGACTTTGGAGAAAAGCAACTACCCGCCCTGATGTTTAAAATGAAGAAAACTAAAGTGGCCTTTGCAACTTCATTACAGGAATGCTTTCAGTGAAGAAAGGTAAGTTTCCAAAAAAAACACCGCCACTGATTTAAAAATAACTACTATTACGTTGGTTCTCTTTTGAATGGCTCCAAACAATTATAGTTATTTAAATTGTTACGATATTTAATTAATCAATTGAACTGAAAAAAATGTTTAATTAGTCGAGTTTGATGCGTTTATTAGCGCGTAAACATTTTTTAAATTTTTCTCTAACTAACATTTGAAAGAATTTTGTGTTTCTGAGGCGTGGTTATAAAAGTAAAAAAAATTCTTTCGTCTGGGACACATTGCAACCACTTTGATTAAAATGCTGTAATGCAATGACTGAAATACAGTAATTTTTGAGACTTTTAATATATCAAATAGCTTAATAATCAAGGCCGACTCATTAGTCCAATTGAAAAAACTAAAAGATAGTGGTTTCGAAACAATTTTACTTAGTCGGCCAGCAAGTTAGATATGTACTTGGTAAAATTATTAAAGGTTGTAATATTACTTGTGTATGCCTTTTGTTCATAGACACTCATTAAGGCCGCAAACAAAATAGTTGGGAAATCATCTAGCAAATTCGCAAAAAGAATCGTGAACAAAACTATTTTAATTGTTTCCTGCCCAGCAGACTTTTACTCTCATTATCGACCGCAACAGTTTGCCAGACAACTATGAAAATAATTCAATTAAAAAATGACAACCGCAAACATTAGTTAGCCGCAAAATCCGCCGAGCCCCACCGAAAAAATAATACTGAACTGAATAAAGTACGTCAGACGAAAGCAAACAAAAAGAGTGAATAAATCAGTTAGGAACCATAACTAGTATAAATTAATTTATGTAATTTAAGTGTCAGCGCTTGTGCAAAAACCGAAAATTAGACTTTACATCGGGAATTGTGAGCGGCATGTGGACGTTCGCTGGTTCAATTTAAACGTCCGGGGGCCCTGTCACTCGTTGGGTCTTTACCTGCCTATTTCCCAGTGGGATGCAGTGCGCCGCCCCCTCCGCCCCTCTTGCGGCCTTTCTAGTGGCCCATGAGTCTATGAGTCGCAGTCGACGGCAGTTTCCGTCGTCAATTTATAAACGCGTTCAGCTTAAATTGCAACAAATAGTCGCTTATTGAAACTTAAATTGTACCGACACAGAAAGTGAACGAGCCATTTGTGCTAGCGAGAGGGGCGCACTTGGCCAGAAAGAGACTGGCTTTGGGCCGTGTGTCAACAAGTTTCGGCTCTCTCTCTCCCTCTCTCTCTCGCTGTTGGCCATTTTTTGTACTTTTTGGCTGTTGTTTTGTGTCAGTTGTTGACGTTGTTTGGTGGTTGTGTGGTCGTGGCTTGATTTGTTTAAAGGTTTCTGGTTCTGGGCTTCGGCGATGGGAACGTGGCTTGCCAATGTTTTGATGTGTTTTCGGATAGGGTTTACTAGAAGGGGAGAGATCGGAGGAGTACGCTTATCAAGCGAGCACAACAACAAGTTTCTTGTTAATGCGGTTAAACGAACAAACAATACCGCTTACTCTAAAATTAACGGACATTCAAAGGAGACGTAATGTACTACATAATGTACTACATGAGCAAAACAATTTCTTAAGGATAAAACTTAGAGTAAGCGAATTTTCTCCTTCCAAAAAATAATTTCTAAAGTCCAGCTATGATCAAAAAAAAATGTGCACATTCAGTTCATGAACCTTTTATTTCAACTTTAATTTGCTATTGGTGATTTATAGCAGCCATACGAATCTCGCGCAACTTTTGCTCCCGCTCCAACTTAAACTCCTGACATTGGCAATTAACTTTGGCTGCCATTTCTTCAGCTATTTCTCCCAATCAAAGCTTATATGGGGCCCGCATATTCTGGCCGTAAACCAACCGAAATCAAAGCAAGCCAAACTCGTTTTATGGCTTTAACTTGGACGGCGGAATCCAGGTAAAAATTTAATTGCACGCCACAACAGTTTTCCGCTTGATTCCATCCTTTAATTTCAATTCCACACAGGTAAATCGGAGAGGCTCGAGTTTTGACGACAGCCAGAGGTTGCCGGTAGAAAGCCCCGAACAGGCAGAGCAAATTTCGTCGACAGCGGGCCGCAGCAATATAATTTCTTTCGATTAATCCAATCGATTTCTATTCAATAAATCAAAATACGAATTCGCCACGGCCCCGACCCCTCGGCTAGACATCTAGACACCGTCCGTGGATGTGTGTTCGTTTGAGGCACGTAACAAATTGTTGGGTTAATTAAAAAAACATAAATCGTTTTATTCTTTATTCACACTCTCGGCCGCCAAATAACCGTGGCAGGTCTCCGAGGGCCCTTTCATCAACTGAAATCAGCTGAATTCCCTGCCAAGAATTTGAAAAATAAATCACACGTTTTTCGCCAGAAAATAATTTCACTTTAGACACTTTTTCTCACTGCCTGGCTTTTGATTTATCTTAGCAGCCCTCTGTTATGATAATGTTAATGAACATCGCTTAGCCCGCAAATCGTTGGCCATTAAGACATTTTGATGACTTTTAGCCCCCGGAAACTTGATTCGCCCAGCACACACATCAAATTTGTTTTTGCCAGCCTCCGCTGAACCAATCAAAACAAATTAACGAAGTTTAGCAATAAATATTCATGACAAAATTCCGTCAATTAAAGCGGCCATTCAAATCCGAAACTCACTCGGCTGCAGCGTCCGTAAAAAATTCGTTTAATTAACAGATCAGAAATGTGCGAATTCCATTTGCATTTTTATTAAGCCGGAACGAGTGGAATGGAACAGTCTGGTGAAGCGTGTGGGAACCGTATCGATTGTGATGGAAATGAGTCCAAGGCTTTGGAATCGGTTTCAAATCGAAGCAGGAAATCGAAGTTATCTAAATAGATTTCTGATGCAACCATGCATATGTACATAATTGGATAGTCTAAGTTAATTAGACTATTGTGCATATATTAGTGAAAAAATGATTGGGTTTTATATTTATAATTTACATGCAGTAAGCGGTTCTGTGTAATGCTTAATCAATTACGAGGTTCCAAACTATTTAATGTCAGTTTAATAAGTGTCAATAATTCAATCTCAAGGATCGAAATAGTCCCGTTCCCCAATTAATTTGAACATTTGGTTTATAGGTTTTTTCAGTTTATTTTGTTGGTTTTTGTGGGTTTTCTTGTTGTTGGGTTTTTGGGGTAACTCTTTAAATTTATTCTGCGTACTTAAGCTGGAGAAATCTAAGGCCGAAAATGTATATACGTATATGCGATGTAGCTTTCAATCCCTTCGATGTTGAACTCTTTTTACAGTGTATAGATTTGCAATTTTGTACTAGAAAGCTTGGGGTTCGGGGAGGGATGAGGGATGAGAATAAAAGCAGCTTCGACAAAAAATTAGCTAAGACTTACGAGCTAGGTAGTCAATATGCTTAAGTAATGTTCGATTTAAGTTAAATTTACGAGTGCGGTTTTTACATGTATGCGGTAATTAACTCATATTCTATACATTTACAATAGGATTACTTTAGGTTGTGTTATTTTAGTTGGTTTTGTTCTGCAACTAGAAACTACGTTTAAGTTAACATAACAGATGAATAGCAAAAAATTAGGCAATTTATCGATCGTACATCCTTTTTTGTTTTTTGTATATTAACATTTAAAATACATAATAGTCACGTTCAAAGACGAGTCAAAAGTGAGTGTTATCGTTATCGATTTTCGTTTCAACAGCAATCTTCAGTTATCAGGTAAAAAGTTCAGAGAGTTCTCCTCGACTTTCAGAAATATTTGGTTTTCACATTGCGCCACAAGGGCCAGGTTCTGCAGCCGCTGGCAGCAGATCCAGTCCAGCGAGGAGGCCGACTCCTCGAGGGCTCCTTGTGCAGGGCCCGCCCCCCGACGGCGGAGGGCGTGGCCACCGGCTGGGCGGGGGGCGGCGGCGGCGGTGGCGGCTCCTCGGGCCACCAGTTCTCCCACTCTCAATACGCCGTCGCCGCGCCGGGGTGCATCAGGTGGTGGTGGTGGTGGTGGTGCCCGAAGTGGTTCAGCGGGTTCATCGCCTCCGCGGACCCGCTCGGCGCCGCCGAGTGATACCACTCGCTGGGCGGGTGGTGCTGCGCCGCCGGGTGGTACAGCAGGTGGTGGTTGTGGTGCAGCATCGACGCGGAGGCCGCTCCCGGCGAGGCGGTCGCCTGATGGTGGTGGTGTGGGTGGTGGTGCGAGGGCGGCGGCCCCAGTGGGGGGCGGCAGGTAGGCGGAGCTGGAGGCGGCCATCAGCTGCAGGGCGGGCGAGGACTTCGAGTCGCTGGGATGGGCTGCCAGCTGCTGCTGCTGCTGCTGCTGATGCTGCTGCTGCTGCTGCTGCTGTTGCTGCTGTTGCTGCAGGAGGTGGGAGGCACTGCTGCTGGCCGTGCTGCTGCTGCCGCTGCTCGAGGCGCCCAGGTGGACGCTGTGCAGCGGATTGGGCTCCGACTTGATCGAGTGCGGCGAGGACTTCAGCCCGCTCCCGCCGCTCAGGCTGCTCACCCCGCTGCTGCTGCCCGCACTCCCGTCCAGCCGCGTCGACGGCGGCGTCTGGGCTCCTCCGGTGATGATGCTCGAGCTGCTGCTCTCCTCGCCCTCGCTGTCGTAGCCGTGCGAAGGACTCTTCTCGTCCACGTTGCCGTGCACCTGGGGGAGATCAAGAGAGTGGGGGGTTAGTTCAGGTCAATACATACTCATGATTGGGTTGAATATATTGTGGTCAGTTAAAATGGAAATACAAACTAAAATACGATTATCAAACATTACCCTTAGCATGCATTACCAGCCAAAGTACATAAAATTAAAGGATATTTATTTAATCAGTAAATAACAGTAAGTGTTAATAAGTTGTTTTGATCCACTGGTTCTAACAATCAATATAAAAACATAGTTAAAATAAGAAATGATCTACACGTTACTATTATAGCAAATTAATACTTTTTTGATTTTTCAGAATCGTGTCAACTAGTTATAGGTACACTCTGGTAAGTGAGATTAATGATCTGTATATAAGTATTTAAGAACAGTGTGGGTACACATAGCATTTATTTCAACTGATTTATAGATTTATAGAAGAAAGTAACAAAGAACATTAATAAATTGTTCAACACATTTTCCAAAAATGAATAAGTAAGAAACTTTAAGTGAAGTGCTTGAATTTAAACAAGTTTACTTAAGCTGGTTATAAAGTAGAATAAAAGTACCTTAACCACTTGTGGTATAGGTATAGAATGTGTTATTTCCGAAAAGCGATATGCAAATAACTTGGACTGAACATGCTCTCTTATTATATTATTATATGTGCTCCATAAAAGAAAAAAGAACTTACCTTCATGTGCTTGCGCAGCGAGGAGGGGTGCGTGTAGGACTTATCACAGCCGTTGATCCGACAATTGTAGGGCTTGTCCGAGGTGTGGACGTGGGAGTGCTTCTTCCGGTCGGAGGAGTTGGCGAACCGGCGATCGCAGCCCTCGTGCTCGCACTTGAAGGGCTTCTCGCCTGAAAGTAGGCAAGAAAAGGACTCGGTTAGTCTGGATTCGGTTAGGCGGTAACGAATCGAATGTAGTTCTCAAACTATGAGGGGCAATAAATAGCGTTATTTATGTGACGGGCATTAAATAAATAATAGCAGCGGCGAGCGCACAACGATGACCGTTTATGGGCTCACAATTTTTATGAACTATCCTGCTCACACGCACAGTCGAATAAAGGTGGGAAAACCCGTGTGTCCAACATATTTACGGGGAAAACAATAACAAAACAACAAGACGTACGGCTGGGGGGAGAAATCATATAAATTATGCGGGATCAAGAGGCCCATTGTTCGAGGGATCCCGACCCGGCGACCCCTACACGATTTCACCTGTGCCGATGTCGATTGTCCTTTTTTTTATTTGTTCCTCTGTCTCTTAGGATGCACAAGAACAAAAGCGGCAAGGGTAAAGGTAAAAGGTCACAGGGCCAGCGATTATTATTTGATTCGTGTGCGTAACACCTTTCCAATCGAAAGGCAGAAAAACGTTTGTCCGTTTAGCCCGAAGTGATATTTTATGGCTTATTAGAAAATTATTTTTTGACGACGGTGGAGGAGTAGAAAATCTTGACAGCGAGCAGAGATAAAATCAGGATTAGGCATAAATAATATCTAACATCGAGGGTAACCCATAACCCATTTGGCAAGGATCCCGGGGATTTACGAGGGCAGTGGAAAATCTGAATAAGTATTTCCAAGTTAGCTTGATAATTGTCCGATTGGCTATCAGTTTCAATCACTTGCCGCATTAACCGCCGTTTAAACCCCATAAACAAGTCCAGTGTAGAGGTCCATTTAGCATATGGCATTTATGTCGCAGATAAGCGGCCATTACATGCACCACAACTTTTATGACAATTGAAGCTAAGCGGCTCAGATCCCCCAACCCCCCTTACCCACTTCTCCCCCAGCAGAGCCCACGCGGGGCTGTTGCGATGACAATAATCGAACATTTTCACACCTCGAGCTTAAGCGGACAATCGCAGCGGAGGAAAAGCTGCACAGGTGGGGTTTCGTGGCAGGGCTTTGTGGCAAGACACCCAGCGGCGAGTTGGCGGCAGCTCAACAAGTTTCTGTTTACCTCTTCGCCTTCGCAGTTCGCTTTATGTAACTTAATACTAATTTATGTGCTTTATTATCCGCGTTTGAATAACTTTTATTTCGAGCCTCGTCATGAGTCAGAGCGACGTGAATAAGAAACAGAAATCGAATTCGATTTGAACGGCGTGTCGCATTGTGATTGTTATTGTGTTTTCTATTAATTTGTCAAAATTTAAAACTCATAAATAGGCATTACGAGAAGTGACATCGGAGGGCGGCTGAAGTTCGTTGTTTTGTTGTTTTGACAGGTCCCAAGGGTCTCTCAGCAGAACAAGCGTACCAAATGCAGTTCGATGGGCTCCAAGTTCCAGCTTTTGATCTACTTTACAAGGCGCCATGTGAGCTTAGCTCTATCCAGATTGATTTGCTATCACAATCACCTTCAAAAGTATGTTTGTTTTGCCCTGAAACCCAAGAGATAACTCCGTTCCGCTGGCGTATCAGCACTTTCCAGTTATCAGGTGGCAGTGGGAAACGATATCTCCGAACACTAATTAGTCATAAAGACGGCAGCTGACTCGGTTCCGCCGACCCGCTGGGCTCCTATCCGAGCTATCAGGCCCATCGCCTTGTTGTTTTCGGGGAACCCAGCGGCACATCCTGCTGCCCACTGAACACCGAGCACCGAATACCAAACACTGAGCACGCATCCATCCACACATCCATCTCCTGGAGCGCTGCGGTCTAAGCGCGGCGGGGGGCGGCAGAGTGAAGAGTGCAGAGTGCGGAATGTGGAGAGTGCGGCACGCGCTGCGGCCAAGGACATTAAAGGGTTCGAGCCCCGGCTAAGTGCAGCGCCGGAGGATTCGCATAATTTTCACATTCCGCTCCGAGCTGGCGGGCATTAAAATCGGAATTTAAATATGTTTTATTGCTTTAAGTTGCGGCGGGTCCGACGGCCGAGGGAAAATAACCGAAATATCGTCGCCCATTTATAAAATGTCAATTTCAGACGACGTTTCTCAACTTCCCCTTCCGACGGAGCGACATGAAAGACATCCTTGGCGCACCCTTTTCGGCCTGGCAAGGCGCCACGGGTACAGTGGGCCCCCTAGAAGAGAGCTCCCCCCACCGTCCACCTTCCGCCGGCAAATCCCATTTAGGCTGTGCGAATCGACAAACTTATTTAAATATTTCAATAAAGTAAATCCAATGGCAAAGTCCCCGGGTAAATAACGCAGGCGTAGCTGTGAAATAGGCCGACTGCCTCCTGATTTGCATATTTAGCGGGAGCTTCTGTTTTCCTTCCCTTTCCCTTTTCGCTTTCCCGGAGGAAAGCCCCAAAATGGTTAATTTCCCGAGGAAGAAAAAATCGCTGCTCGCGGACCGAGGAACGAGGAACGATTGGAATCGGCACAGACTGCCTGTCATGGCGTTTTGTGTACAGCTGCAGAGTTGTTTGTTTTTTTGGGGTGGTTCTTATATTTTTGGGGTTGCTTTGTAATCTCCTCTCTGCCAATGTGTGTGTGCCAGTGTGTGTGTGTGCGTGGGTTAAGCCAAGAAAGTTCTACATGGCCATACATATACACGTTTATATATGTATATTAAAGTATATGTGCGGCATTGTTGTCGGTATATATGGCACATGTTTTGGCTTTTATGTAACTGCTGCAAAGCTCGCTGTCATTTGCAGACGAGTGCCGAGCCGGCGGCCTTTCCTCCCCCTCATTTCCCCCGCCCCTCCAGCTTTTCCTGTACCACCCCACTCCACTTTCCCGCCTGAAATTGTTTTTGTTGTGGCTATTATGGGGCGTTGTTTCTTTTTCGTTGGGGGACTGATGTTTCTGGGCGTAGTCGAGCCAAAAAAAAAAAAAACAGAAATGAGTTTTGCTAAAGTGTTTTCTTTTAGGCCCGACGACTTGCTTGTATATTATTAAAATATGTTTGCTTGCTAAAGACAACAATATGCTTTTCGCTTTGGCCAAGGGAAACGGGTGGATTGAAAACAGGATTTAAGGGCTTTGCAGGCCGTGAATATAAAATATACATTTTAGGAAATATGATATACACAGACAACGTACATTATAGAATGGTTACAATATTTGTATACCTTACTTTTTTTTTTTTTTTTTTTCATTTGGTAAATTTGAGAAATAAAACAAACTAATCACCTAAGTTTACTTACAAAATGTGACATTCTATAATTAATTTATTGTTTGTAAATCTAATTCCCAAAATACCCAAACTTGTCATGAGGAAGCAACAGGAGGACTATATACACTACCCAAAATATATACTTCCCTCTGGACGTGATCGCTGCTAACCAGGCGATGCAAATTAAGCATCATTGACAGTCGCTGATTAATTGGAGTGAATCAGGTTTTTAATTTTCAGCAACAAACAACAGATGAAATTAAAAATACATGCAGCACAAATAAACCATTTTTCTGCCGCCAGAGTGACAGTTGCTTATTAAAGGCATTTCGAAGTGGAATTAATTAAAAACGCGAAAGCGCAGGTATGAGTAAACGCTCCTCTCCTCTCCGTTATAATTGCTGTTAAATAATTGCCCCGGTAAATATTTATTGCCAGCTCAAGGAGCGCTCACCACTCGCCCTAAAATCGGAACAAAGGACCGGCTCCTTTTTATATAATACAACAGAAGGGGATGAGGGGAGGAGGGGGGAGGGAGTCGGGCCAAATAATGGCAGGGATGAGCATCATCATCGCTCATGTGTCAACAGCATGCAATGCGATATGATTATTATTATCTAACAATACAATAACAAAACTGCTACTTTTTGCCTGCCGCTCTCGCTGTCTCTGTCTCTGTCTCTGTCTCTCCCCCTATCCTTTTCCCTTTCCCTATCTTTTTCGCTATCCCCATCCCTGTCTGGGTTGTTGACACTCCTCGGATTTGAGAATCCTGAGCTCATTGTGTATCTGTATCTGTTTGTTTGTTTGCCATTCATTTTTTCCGCTGCTGTCGCTTCTTTTTCCTCCGGTCTGCTCCTTTTGTTCCTACTGCTAAAGCCGGAAAAAGCCAAACCCCGATTTCCTGGCGGTTTACATTTCAATGGGCAATTTTCCCCCGCTCCCCCTTCTTTTCGCTGTTGGCAAATAGCTCACTTTTCCGTAGGGTTGGTTAGGGGCAGTGTCTATTGATGATGGGAATACGGTCTTTTGGTTTTTGTGAGGTGTCCTGGGTGAGCAGGTGACCTTCGAGTGTAGCTCGTGATCTTCGGGATATAGAAACCATGAATCGGATGCCAGAGATCCCTACTCCATCGATTCCCTCCAAATCCCCTTTCACATTTTCCATCCTGACTTTCCCACACGCCGCTCACTTTGAATATTTATAACAGTTGCCTGCGTTTGATGACCAAATTAATGGCCAACAATTCCGCTCCATTCCATAATAATAATAATAAAATCATAATTTAAGAGCAATGAATGCCGCTTGTCAACGGCCGAATGCAAAATCCTCGGGCTCATCATCGGGGAGAGCATCGTCATTATCCTCTATCCTCGCCGGAGGACCAAGCACCAAAAATGAAGGACGAAGGACGAGGGGATGTTACCTATGGGTCTGCCACACAGTCGGCCCATTGTTGTTTGTTTGACAAAAACCATCGCTGAGTGAATTCGTTGGTGATTTATGATTGCTGCATCCCTCCTTGCGACGCCGATGATTATGATGACCCATCCCCGCTTTCCCGGCCAAGTCCTCACATAATTTTCGCTATTTGTTTGCAGCTCTGCCGCTCGCTGTCAAGTGATACGTTAATAATTGACACCGGGGTCAGTGGCCAGACTCGCAGCCCCTGGGTTTCCCTGCGGTTGCTGCAGTCACTTCCCCAGATTCTTTGGGAAAGTGTTTCCAAAAAAAAACACACCGAATTTTACACTTCGCTGGCGGCTTGTG